GAAAACATTAAACAGCACCAGTCCCAGTACAGACCCCTGAGGGACACCACTCGTCACCGGTCTCCATCCGGACATCAAGCCATTGACCACTACGCGCTGGATGTGACCATCCAGCCAGTTCCTTATCCACCCAACAGTCCATCCATCAAAGCCATAGCTCTCCAATTTAGAGAGAAGGATGTTGTGGGGGACCGTGTCAAAGGCTTTGCAGAAGTCCAGACTGAACACATGGAGCGGGGATGGCGGGGACAGACAGGGAGCGTGGTGGGGGAGGGGGGTCCTGGGCAGAGAGGGGATGTCGGGAGAGGGGAGCAGCCCGGGCACCGGCCACCCTGGGAATCAGCGCCCTGGGATTGCAGCTTTCCAGTACTTAAAGGGAGCCTATAGGAAAGATGGGGATGGACTCGTTAGCAGGGCCTGCAGTGATAGGTCAAGGCGAGGATGATTTTAAATTAAAAGAGGGGAGATACGGCCTAGGTACAAGGAAGAAATTGTTTACGCTGAGGGTGGTGAGGCACCGGCCCGGGTTGCCCAGAGCAGTGGTGGATGCCCCATCCCTGGGAACTTCCCAGGCTGGGTTGGACGGGGCTGGGAGCAACTGGATCCCAATGCAGATGTCCCTGCTCATGGCAGGGGGTTGGACTGGGTGACCTTGGAAGGTCCCTTCCCACCCAAACCATTCTGGGATCCCTGGAGCAGGCCACGAAGGTTTCACTGCACACGGGCGAGCAAAGGAGCGGGGCCTGTTGGGAAGCGTAGGACCTGGTGACTGTCACAGCAGTGGGGACAGCAGGGACGGCGCAGGCTGGCATTCCCGGTGTCGGGTCAGCGGGCGAGGAGGGGGACGCACAACGTGCGCGTGGGCCAAACCCCTTGAGACCTCCTCCTCTTCTTCCAGCGAGAGCCCTTCCAACCTCAAGGCCCTGTTTGACTTTGTCCGGACGTCCCTGACTCCTGCCGGCAGCGACTCCTGGAAGGGCCCCGTGCTGCTGGTGGACGACCTCGGCGTCCTGCTCAGCCTGGGTGCCACGCCGGTGGCCGTGCTGGACTTCATCCACTACTGCAGAGTCGCAGTGTGCTCCCAGCTGAAGGTACTGCTCCCTCCGCATGCGGCGTCCCGCCTGCTACCTGGACAAAAGAGCCTCTGGAGCAAAGCTTGGCTTTCTTTTCTTTTTCCACCTGTGCATGATGAGGTTTTGGAAGGCTTTGTCTGTCCAAGAAACACAAGTCATTGCTCTCGGGCTGCTCTCAGGGAGTTGTGTTAGTCCCTGGAGTACCTGCGTAGGGTCCTTTGCAACTGGTTTCCCAAGGAGGTGCTGCCCAGAGAAGGGCTCGCTCTGCCCCTGCTGTGTGAGCAGGGCTTCCAAGTGTAAAATACTGTTTCTTCGAGCTCCTGGCTCTCCAGAGATCTCTACTCACACTCATCTTTGTGTGCGTGTGGGAGGGCAGGGAATGAAGTGGGTTATGAAGGGGCTGATGAGTCTGGTGGGGGACAGAGCTGAAGTTCTTGCAGGGGACATGAATCTCTGCTTCCACCAGTCTTCAGTGTTGCTGCGTGTTGCACCGGCTGGGTTCTAAGGGCGTGTGACGATGCAGCACTTCTACAAAGATCTCCCTAGCCTTGTGCTATCTTCTGAGAGCATGGCAGCCAAAAATCTTTACAGTCACATCCAGCCTTTGCTATTTACATTGCAAGCGTCCCCTCCCTGGCCACTTCTCTCTCAAATCATTGCTCTCGGGCCGCTCTCAGGGAGTTGTGTTCATCCCTGCAGTACCCACGTAGTGTCCCTTCCAACCCAAAGCATTCTATGATTTTATGAGAGCGGCCCAGGACCGTGCCCTGGGGGGAATGGCGGGGCTGAGGGCATCGGGAGCCCTGTGGCACAGGGTGGACGTGGGGGCTGAGCAGGGAGGATTGGGCACCAGGAGCCCCAGGGCACTGGTGGGAGGATCGCAGGGGGTAGAGGTGAACTGGATACCCAGAGCTCCGGGGAACAGGGGTGGCCCAGACACTGGGAGTCCTGGACACAGAAGGGACAGTGGCACACGGCTTGGGCTGAGCTGGGAGGGCAAGAGCAGCAGGGCAAGGGGTAGACGAAGCGCCCAGGGGAAGAGGTGCGTGGTACCCAGGGACCAAGGGAGATTTTTCTTTTTTTCCCCCAGGAATGCAGGTGCTGGCATGGGGTAGGACGCCACACAGCCTGGGCAGGGCTTCCCCCACCGCGTCGGAGCAAAGTCGTTAGCGTCTTTTCCCCCTGGCGCCCTAGGAAGCCATGGGCAGGCTGAGGTCTGCAGCAAAGGACGTAGCAGCTCCAGTGCCAGCAGTGGTGGAGGGGGATGGTGGAAAGTAGCCACGCCGCCGCTGCCCCACAGCCAGCCGGCCCCATGCCGGTGCTGCTGGCCTGGAGGTCACCCCGGCACAGCTCCCGGCTGCCAAGCATCGCTCCCAAAATCCTGAGGGAGCCCTGTGAGGAAAGATGCAGTGTCAGAAAGGAGAGTGGCCCTGAGGAGATGGGTCTGGGTGGGAAACCAAAGCAAGGAGCAGGGAAGGAGCAGAAATAGGACAGGGGAAAGGCAGCCCCTGCTCATTCATCTCCTGGGGCTGAGCACCCCCCACAAACCGGCCTTTTCCAGGACCCTTCCTGCAGCCATCAGACTCTGATGCTTTCTGACCGGCCCCGCTGCCGGCAGCCCTGCCCGATACCATCGTATCTGACCCTCTCCCGGGGGACCCACACCCCTGTCCCACCAGTCCCAGCCTTGGTGGGCCTTTCCCCTTTGCTGCCCATCCAAGGCCCCAGGCTTCTCCCACCGAGGCCAAGGGAACAAAGACCAGAGCGAGCGCGAGCCTCGGGCCAAGTCCCACCTGCGTTATCGGTCGAGACACGGCATTGCACAAGCTCTGGCTCGCAAAGAGCTGGCGTAGCAGCGGCCCCAAGCACGCAGATGTTGGCCGACCCTGGGCAAGGCCGCCTTGTTCTGCCATCAATCGCATCCCTCCTAATCTCCGTTCTGCGCTGCCTTCCCGTCAGCGTCAGCTCCCGAGCAAGGTCTCGGTTCGGTCGTGGCCGTGCCAGGTGGCCTTGGCTCAGCAAAGCTGCCAGATTGGCCTCCGGCATTCGCGTC